TCAGGTTAAAGTTCTCAGAAAACTTTGACCATTCTAAAAATATCCTTGCATATATTTTCAAGTAAAGATATTACAAAAGTACAGAAGGGAAATGGATTCTATTTTTCTCCTCAGTATTTGTTTACAAATTAAAATGGCCTTGATTGAAAGTAAATTACTCAAATCATACACTGTATATTTCAGAGTTTCCATGTATTACTATTATATTTATTTTGACAATAGGCATTTTGGGATACCACAATTGGACCGTACCAGACTTTGCCAGCAAGCATATAAATCCAAGCATGTTGGGCCTTTAGTGAAACTAAGCTTTCTGCCAGGCTAAGACAATTCTGTTAAAGAATTATGATCTAGAATTGTCAGGGTCCTTCTATATTCCAAGTCTAGCCTGAAAAGTAGAAAACCTTCTTTTAAAATATCAGGAAAATCACATGACACTCATTAGTAATTGCTCACCTTTGGACCTGGCAATCCAGGTAACCCAGGATTCCCATGTGGACCTGGTATGCCCTGCAAATAGTGAAAAGTTTTCATTATTCTTAGAACAGATACAAATAACAGAATTTCTTTTGACATTCAAATACATATTATATAATATAGCCTAGTTAAAGTAAATGCTAAAAAATAAAATAAAACTATATATTTTCAAAGTTATTTCTTCTGAGATCATTAATATTTCAGTCTTTGGAGGTTTAGCTATATTAATTACACAGAACTACAGTTTCCAACTTTTCGTTGAAATAGTGCCTCAAAGTGTGATGTTATTCACCACTCCTGTGCACAGAACAGTATGTACTGCTTTTTCTAAGATCTGTGCAGAGTAAGAAGCATAACAAAGTGGACTGTTTGGCTACTGAACTCCCAACCTGTGCTAGCCCCTTCTGCTGTCAAGATTTTGCTTCATTTACCTCGCTACCACACCTGCTACGGTGACCTGAATAAGAAACGTCCCCCCCTGGGCTCATGTATTTGAACACTTCGTCCCCAGTTGATGATGCTGCTTTGGGGAGGTCATGGAACCTTTAGGAAGTAGAGCTCTTCTGGAGGAAGCACAGATTTTATAGTCTCACCCCACTTCTCAATCACTCTTTCTGCTTCCTGTGCAGATAAATGTGATCAGTCCGCTTTCTATTCCTGTGGCTGTGCTTTCCCTGTTTCCCTGTGTTTTCTACCACGATGGACTCCATCCCTCTGAAACTATAAGCCAACACAAACCCTTCCTTTCTTAAGTTGCTTTTATTCAGGGTATTTTATTGCAGCAATAGAAAAGTGAATATACCTACCCAAATGATTCTTCGAGTCTCAAATGATATTCTACCTAACTTTTAAAACCCTAGAAATACCAACATGAAGTAACATCTCCGTACTGTCAGCCTCTATAGAAACCACTGTATGTTTAACTCATTCTCCAATTCATTGTATATTGCCTTGGGGTGTTTTTATACTGTTCTAATCTGCTACATAAAATATTTTGCTGTTATTTCAACCACTTCATAGCATGTGTTATTTAGTTTTAGGATTATAAATTCTTGGAAAAGAAACTCTTTTTTAAAATTTATTTTTATTCTTTGTGTATGAGTGTTTTGTGTGCATGTATGTAAGTGTACTACATTTGTAAAATGCCCAGAGAAGAGGGCATCAGATCCCCTGGAACCAGAATTATGGATGGCTGTTAGCTGCCATGTGAGTGCTGGGAGCTGAACCAGCACTCTTTGAAAGAGCATCCCATGCTTTTAAACACTGAGCCATCTCTCCAGTGCTGAAAAGAGACTCATATTATTAGTATAGTACTCCAAACATGTTAGCCACTTGACTATTTGTCTGTTTGATTGTACTTTACTGATAAATTATTACAGTCTGAATTTAAAACTTGATTCTATTCACTGAGTACCTAGCATGTGCCATGAACTATGCTCATACTTGGAAATTCTCCTTACTTTTTGCAAAAATCTTGCAAGGCAGTTACTCTATTCTTACTTACAAATGAGAAAACTTAGGCTCATACAACTATTAAGTACAAGAATTGAGAAACACAGTCTTTAGAAAGCCTCTCAGGTCTCCAGTTTCCCTATAATTATTAGGGTTTTGCAGGCAAGCCCTGTGATTTTTTGGTTGGTGGGTTGGTTGGTTGAGTTTTTTGATACAGGGTCTGGAACTTGTTATATAGACCACATTGTCCTCAGTCTTACAGAACTCCACCTGCCTCTGTCTCCTGAGTGCTAGGATTAAGGGTGTGTGCCACCATGCCCAGCCATACCTACATCTTAACATTTAAAATACAGTAAATAATTGCTTGTCTCTTCAACAAATAATTTTTTAAGGAAAGACGGGTTCATCAGTGGAAATACTGAAGACACGTCTAGTAAGATGAAAACTAAGGAAACACCAGCTTTTCTTGGTGATCTTCAGAAAGTCAAATAGGGGGACAAATTTACACAGACAAATGAACTGCCATTGTGAAGTTCAGGGGAATGGGTTTAAACTTATTTCACAAAACTCAGTGATGCAGCCATGTGCCAGGACAATGGCTTTAGGAAAAATCTTGTATCGATGAAAGTTTGAGAGTTTTCAAAAAGGGATAACGCAGTGCTTATTGCCAATAGGATAAAACTGAGAATGTTGCAAAGTTGTAACATTTAAGTTAGATAACTGACTGAAGGGGATAAAATTATGGGCACAGCTAACATATCTAACTTCAAGAAGTATGTTCTTTCTTAGGGGTAGCAGACTGAGTGAGTGAAAAGGAATGGTGGAAATTGGGAAGGAAATGTGTGTATCTCACACGTAGATGTAGATGCTGAACTGAAGTTCATCCTGTTGGGAAAATAACAACTTTAGGGTAAAGAAGGAACAGATTTAGTTCAAAGAAGGACCAGTTCTCAGAAAAGCAAGAACAAAAGTCTCCTTGCAGAGAGGTGGACGCGTGAACACGGTTATACACTGGAGGACAAAGGAGAGTGGGCGAAGATTCGGGTGGATGAGGGACTGACGGGTCATCAACTCCAGAGATTTAGAAAATTCTAAACAGCATTTAAACCCAATGGTAATTTATCTTAGGCTTCAAATGCAGAATGATTTGGTATGAATACCAGCAGGATAAAGTAATATTTTAGGGTAATTTGACTTTATGTTGTTTATATGATATAAATCAAGATACATAGAAAGTGGATTGCATAAAAGTCATCTGTTTGTCTTCGTGATACACAATTATTTTTCTAGTTCATTGATGAAACTCTAGCGAAAATGTACATTTATTTCTCTGGTTTTAAGAGAAACTAATTCTAACACAGCAATAAATCTTTTGGGGGACCTTTGTAATGTGAGAAGTACTGCTGATCCTCAAGGCAGCTTTATTTCTTAAGAGATTTTTTTTTTTTGTCAGTGGCTCCAATATTTTCCACTATGCAATCCAGAAATGCACTATTTTAAGGAGGCTGATCCTCTTCATTTCCCAAATAAAACTTCACCTTGGAATATTGGTAACACTTTATAACTAAGAATAATGTCAGAAGTTGCACAGAATAGCCACTGCTCTATAAATCTGATCATATTTCTTGGACATTTTCACAGAAAATTCTTTGGCTGCTTACACTCAAACAAACAAGGCTGCACATGTTCTTAAGCTTCTCGTAGGTTGCAGTGGCAGAAGAGCCGGGCAGGTTTCCAGAGGAAGTACATATTGTATAGGACCAGAAAAGTAATACTGGAATGTTACTTCTAACAGTCAGGCGGAAATGAAGCCATGTACTCACCCGTGGCCCTCTGTTTCCTGATGGGCCTGGGATACCCATTGGACCAGGAGGACCCTTAGGAAAGAAACATCAAGGCATTAGGCGGGATAGATAATACACGTCTTGTCATACAAGTCTTAATCAGATTTCCACTCAACAATTTTTTTCATCCCCAGTTCCCAGCTGACAATGATTTTAAAGGAACATTAGTCCTTCACCTCAGTCCAAAGGGGTGGGGTGAAGCTGTACTGTCTGTCCTCTTCAATCTGTCCAAAAATGTCAGTGTAAATGTATGGCTTACAGTTACAGACACTGTATCTGGTTTTTATAGAGACCGTAACTGGTAGTTTTGTGGATGATTTTTACCTAAATTTACTTTTATTTTGGAAGGAGAAATTCAATTTAGGGTTTGGAGCCCAAGTACAGGTTTTTCTTTTTTCAAATGCATTTCAAAAGAAGACTCAGCCTTGAGAAATGAAAGCACTAGACATTTTATGTTCTTTTAAAAGAATTATATCAAGGATCTATGAAACGTGTTACCTTGTTAACGAGAAATTTCTTATGTAGGCTGTAATAAGTCTGTCTTATACCAAATGCAGTTCACCAAGAGGTCACTAGTAAAACTAAATGATATTTAAAGCAAAGTATAAGAGCATAACAGGTCAATTGTTAAGGCACCGAGATCTTTAAATATCTTTAAAGATATACTAAATCAAAAACAGTAAACTACTCCTTCAATTCTTCATATGGTGCTGTGATTTTTTATTAAACTTACTTTAACAGTCAGCTAAGTAAGAATAAATGCTCATTTATGACATAGTTGGACACATTCATCTTTGGATAACTGATAACTCTGCTGATATGACATTGCTTTCAATGTCTATAGCACTTATACATATTCTGCATCATGCAAAGCCATTCACTACTGCAGTAAAAATAGCACAGACTTTGAAACCAGGTTCATCAACCTAACCATTAACCAGTAGTGTGACCTAATGTGTCTCATTGTGAATGGGTGTATATCCATGCCAATGGCTCATGAAATAAAGGATGACCCCAGACTGAATCCTATGTAATTTCTAAAATATGGCCATTCTTTTAATCTATAAAAGTAACTTCCATTGGTTTAATCTATAGAAAGGGGAGATATACTTAAATTTACACTGAATTTCAAAGGAGGGGAAGGAATATTAGTGGATGGGAAAGAGCCATTTTATTTATTTATTTTTAAATTTTATTATTTTTATTTTATGTGTATGCATGTATTGCCTGCATGTAGGTAAAGGACAGTTGTTAGCTGCCATGTGGGTGCTGGGATTCGAACCTGGGTCTTCTGCAAGAACAACCAGTGTTCTTACCCACTGAGCCATCTCTCTAGCCCCCTTATTTATTTATTTTTATTTTATGTGTATGGGTGTTATTCCTGCATGTGTATAAGTGCACTCATGTCGTGCAGTGCCCCTGGAGGACAGAAGAGGATGTTGGATCTCCTGGAACTGGAGTTACGGACAGTTGTTAGCTGCCATGTGGGTGTTGGGCTTCAAACCCGGGTCTTCTGCAAAAACAGTCAGTGCTCTTAACTTCTGAGCCATCTCTCCAGCCCAAGTCACTTAATTTAAATCTAAAATACATAAAGAGAAATGGGTTTAAAAATAATAACTATGCAGTAACTTTTCATTTCTCATTCATCTGGATATTTACTCCTTGAAAACTTGCCTTGTTGACACACTCGCTGGTATTTATTATATATTTCTTTTTTTAAAAAAGGTGGTTTGTTTTGTTTATGTTTGTGTGTATGAATGACACGTGTTCAGGTACCCTCAGAATCTGGAAGATGTGTGATTCCCTGGAGCTGGAATTACAGGTAGTTGTGAGCTAATGAACATGGGTACCGGTAACTAAACTTGGGTCCTCTGCTAGAGAAGAAAATACTCTTAATATCTGATTTATCTCTCTAGATTACTCATCATATTTATTTATTGATTCATTTAATTTCATTTTTCTTCTCCTATGTACAACTTGATTAACACTCTCCATTTCTCAATACTGAAAGTATAGTAAAGTTTCTAATCTATCATGTGGAGGCACTCTCCTTGAGCTGCTCAATTAATTTAACAGCCATTATTATATGACTAGAATCCATAAAACAGATTACTTTAGGACTGGGGAGATGGCTGAGAGAGTAGAAGTGCTGGCTATGCAAGTCTGACAATCTGAATTCAAATTCCCAGAATGCACCTAAAAGCTAGACACAGTAGCATATGTGTGTCATTCCCATACATCGTCTACTGGAAGGGGAGGTGGAGACAGGAGAATCATCAGAAGCTAGCAGGACAACTAACCTGGCTGACACAGCAGGGAAGAGACCATCAAATTATATTGTAGGAAAATTTCAAAAATTCAATAAAAAGAAAAATAATTTTTAATTAAAAAAGAAAAATTCATACTTTCCATTTAGTTCTGCTTGTGTTGTATTAAGCTGTTGATTAGAATTTCAAGTCCCCAAAATAAGGCTAGCTAGGAGAAATTGGATCTAAAAATAAAAAAGTTGAGAAAATTTTAAATCTCTAATTTGACCTACTCTCCTGTCACACTCGTGTGACACTGTTCCATTCACACTGGAAAGATGTTCGACATCATCATAGCTGAATGCTGTTCAATATTTGAGTTCAATATTTGGGTCCTTTCTAACTGGACAAAATAATTGTATTAATAGGTGGGGGCTTTGGGAAGTGATCAGGTTATGAGGGAAAAGTTCTCATGGATTAGCATCTTTGTAAACAAGGTCCAAGATGATTCATTTCTCTCTTCCGCCATGTGAGGGGGCAGAGATAAATGCCATCTACAAGCCAGGGAAACAAGCCTCCACCAGATACTAAATCTGTCAGCATCTTCATATTGGATTTTCCAGTCCTATAACTCTATGAAATAAATTTCTATTATATAAGCCTTCTTTCTAGTTTATAGTATTTTGTTACAGGAACCCAATAATATTAAATATGGGGGAAATATTTTATGTTATAGTTGAAACTGTTGACTTGCTTATTTTGTTGTTGAGTTGTTTCATAAACACTAAGAAAAAAAATATCCATTTTCCCATCTTCACAGTCTGGTGCTTCCAAATCTTTGATAACAAATTATTCATAGTCATTTCCTAGAAACTAGTAAAACAATATAATTTTGCATATCATAGCTTTTAAAAAGAATGATTATTTTCTATAAATAAAGTACTAGAAGAGCCAGGTGTGGTGGTTCAAACCTTTAATCCCAGCACTTGGAAGGAAGGTGGATCTGTGAGATCAAAGTCCTATCTAAATAGTAAGTTCTAGGCCAGCTGGGGCTACAGGGAGACCTTGTCTTAAAAACAAAATACTAGAAGAGTCATTTCAATTTTCAGATTATTGGTATTTTTGAGAAAGCATAATTCCATTAAAAAGGAATGACCTTTGTGTAAATTCAAAATCATGCTTCAATAATTTATTGGCTTAATGACTCTGAAAAAGTCATTTGCCTTTTCTAAGCTTTAATTTCTTATCTTTAAAATATGACAGAAACCTACCTTTTAGAGTTATTGTCTTAAAGTGATTGTTTATAAGACATCTGCCAATCTGTTTCTAATTTATAGTAGTTTCCTAGTAATCTGTAGTATAATTAACTTTTTAAATGTATGCAAGGGCATGGCAATGAGAATTTTTTAAGTGGAAAAAATAAAATTCTAGGGGCTGGAGACATGGCCCAGTGGTTAAGAGTGCTTACTGCTCTTGGAGAGGACCCGGGTTCGATTCCCAGCACTCACATGGCGGCTACGAACCATCCTTAACTCCAGTTCCAGGGGAATCCGATACCCTCTTCAGAACTTGGTGGCCTTGCACGACACAGGTACATTCACATACATGCAGGCAATACACTCATATACATAAAATTAAAATAATAATTAAAATATTAAAAATAAATAAAACAAAATTCTAGGAAATAAAAACAAAGGAGAGGGCATAAGTAAAATAAAACAAAAACCACATTGCTATTAAGGAATTAAAAGAAAATTAATAAACAAGATGCAGTGGAGAGATGGTAAAGCATATCACATGATCACATATGCCTGCAGAGGTCAGACACAGAGATTTAAATCTATTCTAAATGCTTTAATCTTCTACCTCTGAAGGGTTTGAGTTCAAATACATCAACGGACATTTTTGGTAAAGGATCAAAGAGTGTGAACACTTTTCAAACTATCTTCCATCCCTAAAAACAACAAAGAGTACCAAAAGAAAGACATGGCATCTCAAATGATCCCAGAAATTACAACTACAGACCACCAAATGGGAAGGCTCTCTGCTCAGCCCCAAGAGACTTGGCAGTATGAAGAGGAATTGAGCACTGACCCAAAATAACATCCCCACCCCCTACAAAATCCTTCAGACACCAAACTTTAGGCATGCTACAGATATAATTAAAAGCTTATCCATCTTAAAGATTCCTTCCGAAAGTCCTTTGATGATGTTTAAGGGAACAGACAAGCCATAGGAGAAATGACCTGCGGCCTAGCAAAGACCTAATTCCAAAGAACCAAGAATAGGGAAAAGTAGAGCTTAAGTGGAAGACGTCACCATTTTGTCATCTACAACCAAATGTGACTATCAGGTATTTTTAGTGTTGAACAGGGATAAAAGAATCTAAATTGTCATATCATTTCTCAGAGAACCTGTGACACACAAGATTGACAGAAACTATGTGAAAATGAGGGGAGACACACCCTGGGTAGACCACAAAACAGCTGTAAGAAGAGGGCGTTTAGAGCAGCAGTCCACATCTGACTCTATATTTTTCCACCTCCTAGTCTTGATCTTCCCATGCTATTCTGTAACAGCCCAGAGAGTGGCCTTTTTCTTAGTGAATTTTTGAGATTTTCATACAATATAATTTGATAGCATTTAGATTCCTTCCCCTATTCACACCTCCTCTTAATGTTCTTCCCCCAATTTTATGTACTCTATTTATATAATAAGGCCTATAGTCTAATTTGTGAGTCCATCCACTGGAGTCTGGTTAACCTACCAAGAGTCCCATGCTTGAAA